GAAACGACATTGATCTGAAAATACAATATTACTAAAATATATATTTTTTAAATAAATCTATTTTTCTAAATATTTCGCGAATGTATAAATGACATGTTGAAAAAATTGTTTTTAATACATTGGATTTATTTATATAAAACTAACTTCGTTTCAAAATACCTTTTATAAACTCTTTGCCTATAGTGTTAGTAAGATATAACCTATAAAGCATATGCCATCCTTCATATCTTTAAATGTTATTGGTACTTTATGACTACTGGCGGAAGATATTTACTTGTCCCCGACTGCCACAAGATAAAGGCATGCTGGCGAGAACTAATTAGTACGAAACTGATCTATATCTAGTATACTGTCCTGATGAATGATCATAGATTGTTGTATACTAGATATTGAAAGTGTAATTCAATGCCAATCGAGGCATATAGCCTGTGGAGTAGTTGTTTTTAATATTATTGTTTGCATAATATTTTTTCTTTTCCAAATTATTTTGGGTCTACCTGAAAGATTTTCTGTCATTTTTCACAACAGCGTAAAATAACATCCAGGGAGTTCCTTAAAATTCAGTATCATCTTAAATGTATAGTAATTGTTTTTATTTCCAGTCTACAGTTGGAAGAGAGTTTTTGGATTCCTAAAGCCCTCTGGGTAGTGATCTGGAAAATCATTATGAAGGGCAAACGGTTTACAAAATATTTCTACTTTAAATTTTTTATAAACATATGTAACCATTTCCGGGTGATTTTAATGATATATTTACCAAACTTCCTTCAAAATTTTTTCTCTATGTAGGCCTAGAAATTATCCTCAAGAAAACGCTTCACGATCAAAATATGACCATTTTGAACAGCCGTCATTGATTCGTATAAAGTAAAGTAAAATGTTACACAAAATAGATAAATCGATTTTTTTTTAACCATCCTATATTCTATTTTTAAATGCAATATGAACGCAACTTGAAAATACATAACATTTTGTCGACCAGCGTCTATAAATGATTTACCGTAACGAACCTACCAAGGACGTAACAAATGAGAAATTACAATCACTGATGTTGACTTAAACCGTAAAAACGAAACCATAACCTGGCCAACAACTGTCAACAATTGTACCAATACTGGCCGATAAAGACCCATAAAGACTTTGTATTGTTTCTTTTCCCATTTAAGTAATTTACGATCTTCCTTAAATGGATGGTGTGTTCCTTAATGGTTTTATTACCACAGAAAAGTTCTTGTTCGGTACACTACATGCGGTGGTCTTCTTTGACAAAATTGGAAGCATAAAATAACCAATGTAGACGTAAATTTATTACTATTTACTGATGTACTCGTATTTATTTCAAAAGAAGTAGGTACTGAACAAAATAAATACATAAGTAAATATATATATTTTAAATATTCATACAATTTTATTTTTTATAACTTTATTAATTATTAATTTTATACATTACTGGTCCTTGTCTCTCACACACACTTTTCCCAGCGGTCTTTCCATTTCGCGAAGCAGTCCTGGATAGCTTCATTTAAAATGGATTTTAAAGTCTGTGATGAATTTGCATTAATTCATCAATAGTCTGAAAACAGTGTCCTTTCAGCATTGATTTTAATTTCGTATATAAGAAAAAATCGTATGACCCAGGTTTAGCGAGTAAGGAGGATGAAGGAGGACGGTAATCTGAGTTTTGGCACAAAACTGACAAACCATGAATTGTCTCGCCACAACTCTGGTCTCTTTTTGCGGATTTTTTCATGTAACTGTTATAAAACGCGTTGATTGACACGGTTCACTGTTTCACCTTGAGATAAGAATTCAAAATGCACGAGTTGAAAAACCAGTGAGCATCGCTTTGATATTGACTCGATATTGACGTGCCTTCTTGACGCGTGGAGATCCTTTGCCAGTCCATTGTGATGATTGAACTGTCGTAGCCATAAACCCAGCATTCGTCTCCTGTTATGATCCTTTGAATGAATGTTTCATCATCATTGGATTGTTCAACGAGTTGCCGACAAGCATCCACATGATTTTCTTTCTGTTATGTACAATAACATATTAGTTTCCACATTCACAAAAATGGGGGGTGAGATTGTTTACAGGGTGGTTAATTGTATAATTTTTACGTAAATTCACGTTTTTCGCTTATAACTTTTTTCCGTTCATTTCCACGAGAAAACAGTAAAGTACTTTTTTTTCATCTTTAAAAGACCTACAAAACTACTATAAAGGAAATTTAATGTTTGCAACTGGAAATTTTGTGAAAACTGGCTCTGGGTTCTTAAAAAAAAACTATTTGTGATTTTTAAATTTTCATAAGAGGTTCTTTGTGTATAAAAAAGATTATGGAGTCCATTGGGATTTATATCATCAAAATCATGTATTAAAATATAAATTGGGATTTATATCATCAAGATCATGTATTAAAATATAAATTGGGATTTATATTTTAATACATGATCTTGTTGTATGTGTACGCTATTCTCTACCTATATCTATACTGTCCAAGATTGTTATATGACATACTATGTATAACGAGACTAGGAAAACACAGTGAAGCACTTAAATCTGTAATTGTCCTGAGGATGTCACGAAAAGTGACGAAACGTTGAAAATTGAGAAAATTTGGTGTTTTTATTTGAAATTTGGCCTCTAATTTTCCCACTATTGACAACAAACTGAATAAAAATAAGGCTACCAATATCATTAGTTAGATTATGTACAATAATATATTAGTTTCCACAGTCATAAAAATGGGGGGGAGAGATTGTGTCACGTTTTTCGTTTATAACTTTTTCCGTTCATTTCGCTTATTTAACGGTAGGACTATGAATATTATGGTCATTTCCTTCGGACTCGCTGTCGTTCTCTTCCCTCATCCTTCCGTCGCGCCGCTGCTCGTCGAAAATCAAGCGACCCACTGACTTTTGACAATATTTCTTATGCACTTAACATACTTCCACAAATAAAATATTTTTATCTGGCATAGTCGGGTTGCCGGTTTACAAGGTTCATAGTTCAAAATTAATATAAAATTCCCTGACTTTTCCAGGTTTTCCCTTACAGGTCATTTTTACATAATAATTGGTGTTTATGCATTACACTTTTTCTAGACTGGACTCCATAATCTTTTTTATACACAAAGAACCTCTTATGAAAATTTAAAAATCACAAATGGTTTTTTTTTTTTTTGAAGAACCCAGAGCCAGTTTTCACTACCTATATCTATACTGTCCAAGATTGTTATATGACATACTATGTATAACGAGACTAGGAAAACACAGTGAAGCACTTAAATCTGTAATTGTCCTGAGGATGTCACGATAAGTGACGAAACGTTGACAATTGAGAAAATTTGGTGTTTTTCTTTGAAATTTGGCCTCTAATTTTCCCACTATTGACAACAAACTGAATTGTACATAATATTTAGCATCTATAGTGATAAATTCAGCTTGCCGAAACAAAAAGTCACGTCCAACTCTATATTTCCTGGCCTATTTTGCAACGTGCATTTTTAAACTTCAAAGCGATCACTCGCAATTTTTTTTGTGACTTAATAATATTTCTTACCTTGCCTGCTACTGCGATGGTTCGTTCATTTTTTTTGGCACACTCTGTAACAGAATGATGTACAGTTCATAAAAGATAATTAATATTAAAGATGTTTGCTTATTTTTTATGAATCCTACAGACACTCTTTTGAAATCGTTTGAACCTGATGTCATCGGAACTACTTATAGGGTCTTTTTGTGAGATTAGGAAGAAAGAAAATAATTGAAATAGTTGAAAGCAATAGTTGAATGAAAAGGCAAATTTATTAATTTACGGAATAGAAATATAAACCTTCCGAAACATGTGCTAGAGGTTATTTTTCGTGATCTGAGGCATTTTGATATAAACAAACACCTCTGAAATCCAAGAACATCTAAACTAAACCCTCTTCATTAGAACATGTAAATCAAATATGTCCATTAGCGCATAATTAAAAAAGTTCGGTAATTTTCCGAACCTAACTCGTATTCCCTAAAATTAAGAATTTTTAAGGAAAACTAACACATTACTAAAACAAGTTTACTTCAACGGTTTATTTTTAGTTATTATTATATACGAGTACAATTTAATAAGCTACTCTCATTTGCCTATGTAAATAGTATTTAATTACATTCAGTAAAAAGTATTTTCTAAATTCTTATAATTTATGTTTTCATCTACAACAGCTGTAAACAACTAATAGTTTTTTATAACTGATTTATTGCACATTATTACGCGAAATGCATGTAATTCTGTAATTTCTGTCATAAGGACAAACTAATTAAATCATTTTCATATAAGTATGCAATATCTCACGTTTCGTGACTTAAAATCGATTGTAACAGATCAACAAGAAGCGAAAAACTAAAAAATAATTCATAAAACAAAGCTTTCTTGAAATAATTTAGCGAAGATATAAAAAAAAACAACTAAAATAATTATGTGTTCTGTCTAAAACTAAATAAAACTTGCATAAAAGAACAAAAAGAGTCATCAAAAAAATTATAAGCGCATTTATTTATAAAAATAAATAAACAATTTTGTAGGTTATAGCCATTTAAAAAGTAACACAGTGTATAAAACTTCATATTAATTATCCTCATTTTGATGATTTGTCAGTAATACTATTAATAATTACCTTATAATGTCAATTTCAGTTTAGGCTCTAGTATTACCTTTTACAAAAATTGAATTAAATCGAACAAGAAGTACAAAGTGATTGCGATCTTAAGTGGGACAGTCTGTATTTTAAACAAAAACAAAACGTAATTAATAATTGTCTGAAATTTTCCAATAGAAAACGAAGACAAGAAACAATAATATCTGTTAATTTACTCTAATAACAATAATGATAACACGCTACATGTCATGGGTTTTACTCTGTCAAGGTGAATATTTTTTTATGAATATGTATGATTAAGTTAATCAGTGGGAACCCCACTGCTACTTTCGTAAGCATAAACTCATGTCAGTATTATAAAACCATTATGTTAAACAGAACAGCAGTGCATTAAACGTACCGTGATATCAACGAAATGAAGAAAAACGTGAGATTTTTATTATGTTTCATTTCTTTGGTGAAACTAACAGAATGTAGTGGGTGTCCAGAATCAGTGAAATATGCAGTCCAGACGGTGACCGAAGACTATACCTATGAAACAAAGCATTTCGATACAAAAGTTATTTCGCCAAGTGAAGACACGTTTAGTATAACTTTAGAGAGTGATGTACCAATTCTTTGCAAGGGAATGTTGAACATTACGAAACCTACACATCATTTCTATGGTTCAAGCAGCGGTATTAAAGAAATAGAACCCGGAACATTTGAAAACCAGAATATCGACTCTCAACTGCTTCTGCCGTATAATTCTCTAACGGTTATAAGAAGAGGTACCTTCAGAAATATGATAATTACCCAACTGGATTTAACTTATAATAAAATTACTACTATAGAAAAGGGAGCTTTGCAACACTTACCACTTTTGAGTATACTTAATTTAGGAAGGAACAGAATCAAGGAATTTCACCCAAATTCCATAGTGTCCACTCCGAAGCTTTTATTTTTTGACATGTCTCTAAACAAGTTAGAAAAACTAGAAGAAAATCATTTCTCTTTTATGAGTAAAGAAAGGAACGTTGGGATTGGACTTGCTGAAAACAAACTAAGAGAAATCCATCCCAAAGCTTTTAAGGGCATTGACGTTTTCACTTTAAACTTGACTGGTAATCATTTAAGTGCTATACCAAAGGAAGTTTTTGCAAATAACAAGTTGTCCTACCTAGCCATAGCTTACAACGATTTAACGCATTTGGACCAAGAATTCTTCGATATGAATACGACAATCCTGAGAGATGTTCAGCTTGAGGGAAATCATTTTAACAAGAAAACACTTAAGAAGCTGAAACCATTTATGAAGATAATTGAAGAGAACAGAAGGCAGGATCAACGATATCACCAGTTTGATGATACAGTCCATTACAGATGATTCAATGAATTTCAAAATGTGTGAAAAGTAAATTGTGAAGAAAAATAAAATTGTCTGATAATGTGTCCAAATTATTATTACCTAAAATCCAAAATTAAATAAGAATTATTGAATTTTATAATAGCTGACGTGTTTACTGAGATTTAAATGCAAATATGTAATAGACAAATACGGTAGAAGTAGAAGCAGACTTATCAACCTTATCATACTGTGAGTACCTATTAACCTTCGATTTATTTTCACGATCACGTAACAAAATATATCGTGTTTCAGTAATAAATATTTTTATGTTTTATTTAAATGTTTTACTAAATTTCTTAAAATAATAAACTTTTATTTAAAACACTGCCATTGGTTAATTTTAAGAAAAAGCTTCCATACATATACACCGTGTCCACCTAGTGCGCGTAAGTCCAATATCTAGATTAATAAAAGATATAACTTAATTTTTTTTTCTACAGAGTTGCCTACTTTCCCGAGCTGCACAAAATGAAAATATATTTGCATACACACGGTTAATTTTTTTAATGGAAACCTATATTTTTTATGGCATTATCGAATTCTACGTGAAAAATTAACGGGACTTTGTGTTATGATCCCTATTAAGATATTGATAATTTTCGAAATAATCGACTTTACATTTTTTTTCTTATGTTTCGTCACTTCTAGTAGTTGACATAATTATGATTGTATGACAGCTAGAAATTATTTTTTTTTTCTTTTCAGGAACTGTAGAGTGAAGATGGCTCTTTCAAAAAACGTATCAAAAGTTGACCTGCGATATACAGGGGGCAAAAAAAATCGTGCCAAACCTGATAATT